GACTAGTCTAAAAGTCATTTTGGTCATCATAGATTATAGTAGTCATCATCTTTCAATTAAAATTAATGCGTGCTATAATAGATTTTCATCAGATTATTGCAAAATTCTACTAATATTAAAAATTTGTATTTACTTATAGAAATAGATTTAATCAAAAATATTAAAAAATTCATACTTATATTGACATATGTAAAAAAATTAAATATATTATATATCATAAATATTGTTATATGGAAAAAGAATTAAACCATAATTATTCGAATGCTTTAGTATAAGTTATCAAATAATAAACGTGATATACAATAAATTTAATTTTCTATCTTTACTTTTCTAAATATATTTCCAATTTATATATAATATTCTAAGCTCTATTTACGATATATTTAGTTTTTGAAACATTGGGTATATACTGCATACTAATATTTTTCGAAAAAGAGATGAATTTCGAAAAATCTGCACTTTCCGTTGACAGGCGTTTACCCGAATGCCAGGAAAAGCTATTCGCAGACGAGCACATGGCCGATGGTTACGGTGAATGAATACGGCACCCTCTGTTTGGATTATGGACTCGTAGCTGCGTTGGTGTCTATAAACAGAGAGAAGCGGGAGAGAAGAGGAATGGTAGAGACACAAGCTCTGCGACCGCTATGACAGATTGAGAGAGAAAGAGAGAGAGAGAGAGAGACATTATCCTTTGGTGACCAACGAGGCGTTTCGACGCCTATACCCCATACAAAGGACAAAGGCTCTTTCCCTCGTTCTCTATGTGTCGTTGTATCCCTCTTATTCTATAGCGCATTACCTCAACACTGTCGAGGTGGACGTCTTCATCATTTATGTAAACTTCGTCTCGATAATAGAGACAGCGTTGCACAGCGAGACACCTGTCACAAGAGCAAAAGTTATAAATATCCTCTGCGCAGTCTTGCAACTTTTTTTAGCTGAATTTCTGACATATTATATATTTTTTTTTCTTTTTGTTAATATTCCATTTCGATCAATAAATTTTAGTGAAATAAAAATATTAATAACGATCAAACATATTGTCATTGTAACGCAACTAATATTTAGATTTGTGTACATAGGATATAGTAAAGATAGTTGAGAGAGAACCTACATATTTTATATATAACATTTAAAAAAAATATATATATAATTTATTATTAATATAAAAAAATTAATAGAAAAATACGGTTATTTTTGTCATTAGGTTATAGAATTGTAAATGCAACGACATATTTTGTAATGTAATAAAAATGTAATAAGAAGTATGATTATATACTCTCATATCGCGTATGCATAAAAGTAAAAGGTATTTGCGGTCGAACGACGGTCGTTCAGATACGGGATGACAATGCCTAGAGACCAAAATGCACATTAGAGACACTTAACTGCCGTCTCTTATTGAATCATCATATCTCTTTACTTTATGGAAACGGCCACTAACATCTATAAAGAGGGTGATCCTGGTATAGAAACCTATGTTCTATCTTTCGTTTTCAACACAATTTTATCTTTTAATTTATTCTCTCTCGATGGTCCATCTACATAAAGCGATTATATTATCAAATTCTGAGTTCATAGTGATAGTTGACAATTTCGAAATTTTTCTGGTTTCCACTGGTTTCTTTTCTTTTCTGATTTAAAAATTTTACCAAATAACGTTAATATATTGAGTAAGATAAAATGTATTTTATTTTATGAGATAATTTTGTTAAAATTATTATTATCATTCGAGAGAGATAGTAAAAATTTCAATGATTATTTTTATTAATCTTCGATAATTATGGAGTAAACAAAATCTTATTACAACTGACAGACGTTAATCGGTGATCCTGTACAAGTACGAAAATCGAACCACTTACTTCAATTGTAAACAGATGTGGTCATCTCATCTCGCGACTAAATTCCCTTCTCCTTGCGCAGTACGTTCACCCTTCTCTGTCATTTTCGCGGGTATCTCTCAAACTTGTTTAACAGAGAGATACTGCATCCACTTTAAGGGGCAACGGAGCCATCAGCGAGGGTGCTACCGGTATCCGCAGGGAGCATCAGATTTTAGACCGCAGCAGAACGGACAAGTGCATGCTCTCTCCATTATAAACGTGCCTCCCGGCTTTACTTTCGAGTGCAACGAGCCATAAAGACCGCGTCATATGTGCATTTCCTATTACTGCTTTTGATCGGCACATCGATCTCTCTGGCACCTTACTTTTTCTCATAGTAATATATGATATATATGTACATAGCACCTGTGTCTTTTGTATTCACTATTGTTGTTTCTGTATTTTTTTTGATCAACATTTTTGTCTCATATTTATTAACTATTATTTACTTTCAAAATTATATTACGTTAATTTATATTATATTACAGTAATTAATATTTTTTTTTTGATTTTGCAAATTATAAATTATCCATGAATCGGAAATTGTTAATTCACATAATTAGGTTATTGCCCTCGTGGGAGCTTTGCTAGTAATACGAAAATGTTTAATGTTTGTTAATAACGATATGTAATAGAATTCAGCCAAGCGAATTAATAATATCACTTTTTTCTGTAAAGATGAAACACGCGGCATTTATTTTGCGCTCCCTGCTAAGATTATTTACTCGAAGCTGTGAACAATCGAGATGTAATCATGATTGGATTTAAATTAAGCTCAAAGCGCCAGATAATTCTGGTAAAAAGTTTCGCGCGAAAGTTTGGTTAAGTTCTGTTTAATGCTCGTTTTCGGATAATCTTTCGTGAATCCTACAAGAGAGAAGCGAGAAAAAGAAAAGCGATGCAAGATCTATGCAACGGAGATAGGATTTTGCGAAACTTACCACTGCTTTCTCTCAACAAGGAGACGATGGAAACGAAATGAATGCAAATGACGCTTGGGTCAGTTGCACCGTAATTGGATGATTCTTTAACCGGAGGATTATCTGCCGTTGAATGGCCTGGAATTCCATCTACAGCCATATCCGCCCATCGTTGACTTTCTATGAATTAAGAAATTTCGGTTGAGAGTTTCTGTCTGGTGCGCCAAATAAAGAAAAGGGTTTTCTTTTCTTCCAAAGGATTAAGAAACATCATTAATCTAGTACTTTCAGTGCGTCCTTCGTGCGTTTAAATAGCCAACTAATATGACGAATAATATTCAGAACATCGTATCGATCAATCATCGTATTCACTATAGTACTATAGTATTTTAAACTGTAATTATTCGAAGCATGCCTTAAATGTGTTTTAACAAAAGAAAATTCTCACGCTTATTACAAGTTGCTAATTCAATACCACTTCCGTTAGGCTTTGTCATATTTATTTCATTTCATTTTTCGTTTAAATCAATTGAATAAAGACTTTATTTAGAAAATTTCTTGCCTGTATTTATCGCTAAATCTATAGGATTATGAAATTGTAATTTCTATTCATTTAATTATAATATAATTTGTTTCTTATTACAATTATAATATTTTAAATTTATATTATTTATAAATTATAATGTTTGTATAAATTATAATATTTTAAGTTTGTATTTACAGAATAATTATACATTGAAAATGTGTTTTTATTAAGTAAGTTAAAATTTTTATTATAATAATTGAAAATTATTTTATTTTTATAACATTTAAAAATTATTTTATTAAATAAGTTAAAGTTTTTATTATAATAATTGAAAATTATTTTATTTTTATAACATTTACTATAAAAAATTTTAATTGTGTTGTTTATATTATACTAAGTTTAATAATTCTGTGTGTAAAAATGTGTTCTTTTCTCTTAATATATAGAATAAGCAATAGAAATAAGTTTTCTAATAAAATACTTGTATAATAATTATCAATCGAATATAGAAATTTCACAAAATAAATAACCTCAACAGATGAAAATATTTTCTGTAGAGTAGTCTCTCGAGTTCTGATAAATTTTCAGGTTTGCTTGGTTTGGATGATTGGGGGAGAAACGTATAAATAAATCTTATCGTGAACTCGACTTTTAGCATACTTTGCCAATTAAAATACTCGGCGACGTTTTATGAGCTGGCATAAGCCAGTCTCCCACTTCGTTTATGTTCCCAATGGTGTCCTTGTTTCGTGCTACGCGAGGTGAATTTACCTCGTTGTTTAAATGCAAATCTGACATTGGTAGAAAAATCTACCTTGAGCGATGCCCAACGGTAATATTCAGACGCTTTTATCGTTGCCGATTTCGATAAAGAATTATTAAATACTGAAATGTGTAAATATAATGTTTATCATTTTTAAATAATGTGGAAATAATAACTTATGATATTGTAATAAAATAAATATTGAAGTAGAAAGAAACATTTAAGAAAAAGATACATTTCGAAAAAAAATACTTTTACAAATAAGTTTGTTAAGTTTTGTTATTTTACTAAATTTAGTATCTGAAGATAGGCAGAAATTCTCAAGAGACGCCGACTATATAATTAAAAATGAATTGGTTGACATAGGAAATTACATCATCGCAGATAATTATATCCGCCGAGAGAGAAATTGCGCTTTTACCTGCAAGCAAAATACATCACTCTACTTTTCATTAATATTTTATCACGATCAATGTTACAATTGTAATAATTTACAAATTTTTTAAATTATTTTGTTTATAAATTATCCTTTTTATATCAATTTTATCTTGCACGTTTTGTTTTAAATATATGAAATATTCTATCACACATACACATACATGTATACTTTTATCGAAAAAACATTTCGTATCTGCTTTTTTATAAAAAGTTAAAAAGATATATTATATAAACTTGTTCAAATGACACGAGAACGCGGATCAAACTTAAAACACTGCCGGGAGGCATTTGGCATATCATCATCGGTATTAAGCACAACACACAGAGAAGCGAAGAGAGAAAACCGTCTTCCAAAAGTCGGATCCAAGCCACGGTGGCGGTGATGCGACCTATCTGTAGGAGGGTGGAGAGACGCTTCCAGAGCGTGGTTTAGGGTAGATAGGGGCGAAAGTCACTGCACAGCCCCTATGGGGGCCACTAGCCAGCTTCGTGCCTTCGTCGCGACTTCAGGAACTCCTGTTGCCGAGTCTGCTGAAAGCTGTACATCCGAAGAACTGGCGAGGCAGAAAAGTGGACAACGTTCTGCGAAAAGATGGAACGCTGCGACTATTCGCTATAAATCTTAATTCTTAATGGAATATCTTTGAGAATTTGCGCAATTAATGTATAATTTAAGCATATGTATTATCTTCCGAGACAATTAAACGATAACAATTTTTATGAAATGTTAAAAATAGAAAAGAAGATATAATATAAAAATGTTATCTTATAAAAAAAAATTTTGCAGTGATCTACTCGTGTTTATAATATTAAGAGAAATAGTTATATATTTCTAAGATGTCTGAATTTCTCCCTTTCTTTGTCTCTTTGTTTACGAATGCATCTGTTATGAATGTTGTTCCTTCCTCTTTGTGCGGTTGTTGATATCGCGCGAGTGCCATGGGTGTTAAACTTTATTAATATCCTTATCAAAAACAGCGACGTGGATAACTGCGCTAGTTGCAGTTCGCAGGATTCGGAAGTTCTGTTCCTATGTGTTCGAGGATAGTTCCTGGGGTTTCTCCCGTGGGCGCCGTGGCCAGCCGTTGGGTTTGCGAGCCCTGAAGGACTCGTCCGTATCTTTGGCAAACTATCGTTCGGGACGTGTACAAGAGGCGGGATAGCGGTCGACGTAGTTATATACTACTTCGTGCGTGTACTCTTGTCGAGATGTGGAACAAATTAAAGTTCCGCGAAGAAATCTGTGAGTGTGCTGGATGGCAATTTTAAAATTTCAAACGATAAGTTAATAATATTTTTCATTTTAGAAATTATATGACGTGCATCTACAGTTATTTTTAATGTGACATAAATTATTATGTATATCTATATTATTCTGTAATGTAATAGTCAAACGTGCGTTATTAATCAAAAAATAAAAAATTAACGCATGCTAATGTGTATCGACTGATTTTTTATATTGCGTTTTTTTTATATTATATTTATAATTTTGAAATTTTTCAAATGTGATAGAAGCCCAAAATTACAATAGGGAATATAATAATAAATATTGTACAATAAGCATCCCAAGTTTGTGCTTGATTAATGTTTGTGCATGTGTGACGATGCATTAATGTATTTGAATACAAAAGGTCTTTAAAGCTTTTTATATTTTCATAAAAAAAACAAAATAAATTGTCTCTTTTATGAAAACATAAAAAGTAAAAAAAATTTCGACATTTTTGCAAAATCAATCATATTAACAAATAAAAATCTTTCTTTTAATTTTTTAATTTTATTAAAACGTATAATTTAATCAAAAAATTATACACACATTTTACTATATTATAGCATATTAGATTCATATGAATATCTATAGAAAACGTCAGCATTTTTCAGTTCTTTAAATAAATAATCAATATTGAGACAATAATTGAATATGATTCTTGTGTTATTTTATTTAATATTTCTTTTAATATTCTGGAAGCTTTAAAAGATATCTCTCCACGGGAAAAGGACTAAAGTTCTACAATTTGCAAATCTGTAATCGTGCAGCATAATAAAAAGCACTAAAAGATTAAAATTTTATTATACCGCGTATACGTAGTTTTTATAACGCAAAGTAATGATGTTCTTATTATAATATAAAATGATATGTTTGCATATTTCAAAGCAATCTTTTGTGAGCTGGAGCAAATTAGTGGCATTAAAAAAGAATTAATTGTTTATATCCAATTACATCTCGGATGTACAGTAGTCTCTATGGATGTCTGGAACTAATCTATTTATGCACATAAAAGAGAAACATACTCAACTGAATCGATAAAACTGAATCAACAAAAATATAAAACGAAAAGAATCTGGAAAGCCGATAAAAAACATTTTATTCGATCGCTACAATTCTCTGTATGACTCTTATTTCACTCACTTATTTTTATGTGATTCATTATGTATGTGTAATGCGATATTTTATCTTATATATAATTTCTCTTTCTCTCTCTTTTAATTAATATAAAGTAATACTTTTTATTTTATACAAGAAAATATAAATAGTTTTTTAGAAATATTTATTCTTTCACAAAGAAATATATGTGTGATGAATCATGGTTGACCACTTGCGAAAATTCAGTTAATTTTAATCATCCATTTGCGACGAAAGGCCAGTGCGTTTTGCATTGATGGTAGGGAGTAGGTAACGAGGATCACGCTGTAACCCACGCCAGTAAAGTTATGATGGTTTATGAATACTAGCGTAACGAATGCTACGGTAGCCCCACGCACCCTACTGAATGGTACGCCGTTATGCTATAATACGAAACTATAACGCGTGATTTTCTATGCTGGAAATTGTTTTACGCCTATAAATAGAACCTGCTGTGCAACGACAGTTGGCGCATGAAGCTATAATGATTATCGATACCGTTCTTTTTTTTTTACACCAATCGAAGCAAATATAGACAAAGTTTAAGTAACTTAAATTAAAAATCGGAGCACATCTTTCCAAAACTTAAAATATTATTTTTTTTCGTTTCATAAGCGTTAGAAATTGAAATGTACTATATAAAAAAGGAAAAACTTATAAAATATATAGTTCGGTAAAATTGTGATAATGTGATATTATAAAATTTGATATTATAAAAAATATTCTAAAGTTATATTTTCTGAAAATATTTTGCTGGAAGTGATTCTTAATAAGTTTATTGCAAACTAGAAATTAATTATTATGCATGCTATTTTGTTTATTATATATTGTACTTAATAACAGTAATAACTATTTTGCTACTTATGTTTTGGTTTTTTAGATTTGTCAATAATTTATTTTTTACCGTTTCGATTGACAACTATTGTTGCAGGCAAGCAGATGAGCATCAAGTATAATGTATGAGATTCAGCAGGTACGGCAGCACAATGCGCTCTAATGCTGAATTCGACAGTCAGACATTTAGAGACATGACGTATCGTTGACATAGCTACAGGGGGCACGATAGCTAGCAATTTGTAAGAGGGACCCCATGGAGGGGATGTTACAGAGTCGCATTTAGCTTAGGGCGCAATATGCTATGGCACTTGATTAAAACACCATGGTGCAGCCTTTGCAGCATAAAACACTTCTAAATGGCGATGCAAAGGGATGACTCCGCAGAGGTTAATTTATCCTATGAATTGGAAGAAGAAAAATATTAAAATTATGATATTACTCATGTTAAAAATTATTTTCTGCATGTGAATAATACATGTTAAATAATGTGATTTTTTTAAATAAGAAATGAACTATTTTAATATTTTACAAGAGTTTTCTAAATTTAAAAAGACAAAAAGTGAAAGGGGAGAATAAATTAGTATGAATTATAAACAAAGGTAAAATATAAATTACTTTAAGAAAAATTAATCTCATTTTATTACTGTTATAATTACTGCTATATTATGTATCTCTTTATATATATTTATAATTACATTTTTCTTAGATAATGAAAAAAAGAGAATAAACATTTTTATTTGCCATACGGTCTGTCATATAACATGATATAGTAATGCATTGTACAGCGTTCTACGCTGTCGAGAGGGCTCCGGCAAGATGTACCGACAGATGGAGGTGTTAATAATTGATAGTTGCTTCCCTCGTTGATGATTGGTGAATCGTATTATTAAGGCGGATAACTTTTTGTAAAAGAAAGAAGTACGCATAATGCGCTCAATATTTTGATTGTTATGCTCCTTTTCATACCTGTATTGATCGAGATTTATTTTGAATACAAAACATGGAATTTTTAAAAGCTACGTTGGCAAAAGATATAGAAAACATTTCAAATCTTTCAGTAAATTTGTCGCTGAGAAATTTTCTATAAACAGATGTTAACTCGTCTGAAAGATGTGAAAAATGACGATTCTGGTATATAGAGACGAAAGGATTAGGACAGTTTTGACTACAGTGCAGCGTGTCTAACATTTCTGTTGTATTGTGGTCAGAAGAAAGGCGGAGAACGAGTGAAACCACGAGAGGTAACGAAGGAACAGGAAGGATGAGAGAAGGATTTGAGGGTCCGGTGCGAAGCTGGGCCGAGGGCAGGACGAGACATAATGGACACATTAGTGCCTGGCCTCCAGTTTAATTAGTTTACATTACCGTGGCATCGTCACCACCGCGAAGGGGTTGGTCGCGGACGGGAAGGAGAGAACAAGAGCGAAAGCGGGGGCGAGAGAGCGCACACCGTAGGGGCAGGCCAGGTTGATTAATCGGGAAAGTTTGATGCGAGTTGACGGAGACGCTAATCACGCCTCGTAACCGAATAATACTGCGCGCTCTAGCTTGCAATATTCATGAACCGCTCGACATACATGTAGCAAACGGAATTCATTATCAACGACACTCGTTAAATATCGTTGCTCGAGAAGTGAACTTTGCGGATTCATATCCCGTTTCTACTAACTTTACATTCCTACAAAAAGTCATAGCCTCTCTAAAAGAAGCCAAAGGTTCATTTATCATTTTATTATCGATAAGAATCTCTAGATTCGTTCTGTATTTCCTTTTGTATAATAATAAACTGTTATACGTTAATCGATTAAACTTTCTGTGTAATAAATGCAGGGACAGTACCTTGGATTTTTTTTTCCAAGAAGAATATTGCCATGAAAGTGCACAGAAAGCTCTTTGAGCTCATATCGCAGTTCTCGAAAGCGTGTTGACCCAGTTTGCGTCTCTCGCGATGCTGACCAACGGATTGCATTGCCATTTTGCAACATTGCGCGGAGATTGAAAGGATTACAACGTTCGGGCGAGGCGAAAGGTGCGGATCCGAGTGTGCACACGCGAGCGAGTGAGACGAGAAAGAGGCGCGGCATAGCTCATTTAATTACAAATTCCATTAAAATGAATGCCAGTTCAGAAACAAACTCCACATATCTGCATTAAGCCGCGGGGCAACATGTCTTAATCAGGTTAATATAAATATGAAATATGCAGCAAAAGAGAGAGAGAGAGAGGGAGTGAGGAAGAGAGAAGGAGAGAGAGAGAGAGAGAGCCCTCTGGGTTATGCTCGGGGGTAAAGGGTTGCGTGGACCGGCATACGTGTGCCAC